AAACCGATGGAATCACCCAGCCCTCAGCCGATGCAACGCACTGCACATCATTGTTAGGCTCGATCTTTGTGATGTTGGGTTCCGAAAAGATCTCGACAGGCATGGTCTAAGCCTAAGCAACAGACCGGAAGTTCATAGAATAAATAAATGAGAATATGATATGCAATCACATGAGGGGCGGGCAAAAATTACTTACTACATGTCATGGACATGGCCAAAATGGGTGGTTCCCTATCGGTTGTGCAGGTTTGTACTTCCATGTATCGGCTCTGAAAGTTAAGTAGTTTTTACACAAATTTGAACATCCCATGTCCACTCCACTCCTACTTTAGTTTTGTTGGTTGGTTACTCACATGATTTTCAAATTGACTCAGTGCCAGGCCTGATCTACGCAATTGGCCCGGAGTCTCACCCGTACTAACTAATTTGAGCAGAATCACGAAATTCAACCAGGCATCAGAAATGATCGCGCTCGATTATAATAAAGGAGTTTTGCTTATATTTGGGTCCCATAACATTGTATTTGGGTCCCATAAGTTTCGTCCGGCTATTGTTTCCAAGGCATGAATGGATGACAACAATGTCACAGTTTTTTTATCAAAAAAAAACGAACCAACTCACAACTGAATGAATCAACTCATGCTAAATAATGCTCCCCAAAAAATCATTGAAATGAAAATTGGGCCAAGTGTTCATACCCGCACCTTCGACACATCGGTCTGGGTCATTTTGGCCGGCAAATCAAAAAAAGTTCTTTGCTGCTTAAATCCCGAAACCGAATTCTTGTAGATCCTCCCACATGTATAGTGCCTCCTCATGCCCAAATGCCCTTTAAATCATGCTCGCCGGCACCTGCAGTGGCATGGGCTGCAGCCTCTGTGTAGAAGGCTGCAGTGTCCGAGGCATACGCCTGAGTTGACTCCAAAAGAGTGCCAATTTTTCTCGATTAAAGGACCAACAAAAATAAATAAAACATGGGGATAAGCTTACTTAGATGGGCCATGGTTTGTTAAATTTTGATGAAATTGGTCTATACGATATTATGTATTTTTATTATTTGGTGCTTTGAGGGTCAAGTCAGACATCATATGTAATTATATTATAATGGTGTTTGTTTACCACTGATCTTCTTCACCTTACCAATGTCGACCCTTAAGTCTGAGCTTTCTGGGCGATCGCACCGACCAAGCGAGGTGAATGCCAAGCAGCAAAGCAGCCTTGCACAGAAGGCAACTGTTTTGATTCAAACCTACGAATTGCGGAGTGCAGCACTGACTTTCCAAACATTGGATGATAAATTGGGCTGAATCGCTATAGTTTTCTTATGAAGTTGAATCCACACCCAACCTTGACTTCATCCTCGGGTCTACTCATGTTGACCCTTGGGGATTTCATTCATATTGAGGAGATGATGGGAGTACGCCAAATGAACCTTCCTAGAACATTGTATCCTCTCTTGGGCATGCTTTGTTTTCTCCACCTTGCTGTTAGTTTAGCCCCATAGTCATGATCTGGACTGATGGGAGTGATTGAATCAGCAAAAACATATTGTTATAATTACCACATATATTATATCATACATAATAACTGTACAGCGCGCCTCTCATCTTCCAAAGGACCTGGGCGAAGAAAATTTGAACAAAAATAATGGTGATTAGAGGAGAGATCAGTGATATCAAGTGATCATGCCAGTGGACACATTGCATTGACATCATGACTGTGGATGCATTGATTGCAACAAGTCGATCAACACATTTTTTATCAGAGCTATTCCATTCCCGGCAGGGTTCTACATGGATTTTTTCCAGGTAGATTCCGTGGAGGCTAGACAGCCGGCTAGAGCTATTCCCTATGGATCCAAGTACCTTCTTAGGAAGTGTTTGGGGTGTAATTTACTATTATAATTTGGAGGCTTAAGTACTTTCTCAGACAGTGTTTGGATCCATAGGGATTCCATTCCCGGATTTTTTCCAGGTCGATTCCGTGGAGGCTAGACCGCCTGCTAGAGCTATTCCATTCCCGGAATTTTTTTCCAGGTCGATTCCATGGAGGCTAATAAAAAGGTTTCCAAAAAAAATCCAGGGTGGCAGGAGAGAATGGAGTAAATACAACAAACATTATTGAGACATCATGGCTGGATTTAATTATTTAAACAACAACTTTAATATTACAACAGAATCTAATATATTTTCAATATTCCATGTACTCCCTTCTCTCGTGTGAGTCCAAATTAGAAACTATGAATGTCCAATGGCGCCTTTGAATGGCCACCCAATGTCCATGGTTGAAAATCAGCACGAGGCGATCCCCGATATCGACTGATCCCAGTGAGTTTCCAGGCAGTGTGCTGATAGAAGACGATGTAATAGTTGGCTCTTCTTCTGGTTCTTCTCCTTGAGATTCTCTTTGGGCAGCCTGTTGGGCTTCAAATCGTTCCGATTCTCGGCGAAGAAAACGGGACAGCGGGTGTTCGAAACCAGGGTTGTCAGACATGGCCCCCTCACAGTCACAAAATCACAAAACAGGGCAGAAATTGCAAGACACGAATTTGGCCAAAATGGCTGCACATGACATATGATTGGATTCTGATATATGTCTGACCCTGACCCTGACATATCTGATATTAAAATTTGATACTGGTCTGCAAAGGTTACCAATGGGGATTTTATTGTAATAAATTGCACAGCTTCAGAAACACGCACTCAGCATCGGGGTTCCATTTCACTATGTGATGCTGTGCAGGAGTTTTAGAGCGGTATAACTTTTGTGCATAGGGCCTCAGGCTTTAAAATCACAAAACAATGAAAACTGGTTCTGCAATAAAATGTGTTGCCAGCAAATTCATGCCCGAATGTGCATCCAACTTCATCCAATTTCGAAGACCCTCAGTCTCTTTCAAAAGGGGCCAGGAAATTCTTTTTAGATAGGGGTATTTTAGAGTGAAAGTGCCTAAATTATTTATGGTTTTAGCAGTCTATAGCAACAAAATAGGGTGGCATACTGTGGAAAAGTACTGGTTCCATTCTGTATACCCATAGGATCCATGTATGGTAAATATATGCTAACATTTATGGTATATTGATGGTAAATGTTACCATATATGGCATACATGGATCCTATGGGATATGGAAAAACGGTTTCGAATGGTTTCGATGTAGATGTCGCAGCTTCAGGGACCAGGGCCCTGGCCGCATCTCCACCCAAATGGGTTCCTCTACTTCCAGCCGCTCCAAGGCCTTGTCGATCTGTTCCACCTAGAGGAGTCATGTGGAAAAACCATCCACATTTGGACTTGGAAAATCCATGGAAAAAAAATCCATAAAATCCATAAAATCCATGGATTTGAAATGACCTACATCTTTGTGGCTTCTCGACCAACAACATCCCATAACAGTATGTTCCCTCACTGGGCACCGAGAGCTTCCCCTGAAAATTTGGGCACACCAACGGACAGGGTCCCCGAGTTGTCATCGTCCAACGACAAGAAGATCTGTCGCAGCTTCTCGATGGTCTCGTCCGAGATCTGCCGGGAACCAAACAGTGGGAGGAACGGGGCTATGATCACCCCTGAAGTCCTTAACTTAATATGATGGGAGTGTGGAGTAGATTTGTTAATATGATATGATGGGAATCCTATTGTTCTAGGCTTAACTTAATAAAATGGGAATCCGTATCATGGGTATGTTAAAAATAAATAAATATATTATGTTATCGTGGATTAATTAACAAGGGAATTATACAATTGGATACATATATATATTATACAATTATATATGATTCGGTGATCATAACAACATAGAATAACCACGATGGAGGCATTCCGCTTCTCCAAGTCCCCCAATTCGCTGAGCTCTCGGGCAAGCAAGCAAGCAAGATGCAAAGGAGCACCAGTGCAAAAATCTGGGCCGGGGTGACCCCAAATCCCAAATCCAAATGCTATGGGCAATGATTGGTCGTCTTTACCACATAATTGGTGTTGATTATTGATTACATTCTACCATTTTGTACCTCCAACTTAAGATGATTTCTAAATGGCTGGTTCCTGCGATATCCTGGGATGCTTTCGGCATGAGTTTTACTGATTGACCGCTGATTGACTGTCCGCTGGGTTGCCCCAACAGGTGGTGACAGCAGGTTCCAGTAGTAAAGCCGCCACGTGTCTGAAACCTGCCGACAGCTGATGCGGCAGAGATACCAACATCAGCAACTTTATAAATATATCACCCAAAAATCCCCAAAAATGAAATGCAAATAATAAGTACAGTAAAAAAAAATACTCGATCTGATATTTGACATGAAATTCTACATATAAAGAATCCCCAGCCATAATGACTTGGCTTTAATACTTGACAGAGGTTTTTCCTTTGCCTGGCACACCACGGCCGTTCTCGCATTCAACGATGCAAAATACCTGCCACCAATTGCCACCAGTTTCTTCGGAGCCGCACAATGATTGATAGAGTTAGGTAAGTGACTTTGACATGGGTATAGATGGGGTATTTGATGGGATATGATGGGATATAGTTTGTTCGTTCATTGGTTTAAAGCATGACTTCTTCATACTTCTTCCATCTTATTCCCACATTCTCACACATTGAACACGTGAAGTCTACACATGACGTGCCATCAAATCTTCCTTAATTTAAGAATGTTCGATTCAGGGCCATTCCAAAAAAAATCCAGTTCCACTGAAACTGAGCTTCTGACAAACCACAATTCCATCATGGAACCAATCTGCCGCACCGTGGCACGGAAGCCACGTCTGGGTTTCAGCTGATTGGCAGTGAACCACCTGGCGCTGCGGCGCTTGGAAAGATAAAGGAACAAATGATAACGGAATGATATAGATCTATTGGATGAATAAAGATAATGCCTATATATACTGATACTTGGATGATCTCGGATGCATATATCCCATGATATGAATATCCCATGAATATCCCACTGTCTCAAACATATACCATTTCAATGACCAGTTCATCCCCGGATGAGGACGCAACTTCTTCCAGTGCATGCCACCATCTTCCAGGAAGAAGCGCGTCCAAGCCTTGACATCGACAGCAATGGATGCAATGGATACAGAAAATGCTGCAGCACTATACTTTTTTTTAGTACTTCCAAGTATCTAAAGTTCTATTGTTGTTAGTACTTCCAAGTATCTAAAGTCTCCATGGTTTTGTTGGGTTTCTGATGGATTCTGAATGGATTTGGTTGGGTTTCTGATAGATAGAGTATGGATTTTGCATGGATTCGGATGATTAGGATTTATATAGTTAAGTCATATTCGTGGTAAATGGGTCTTATTCATGGTAAATAGGTCCCAAGCATGGGCCTTGTACAGAACTTGTCTCAAGTCTGGGTTGAAGTATTGCCCAATAGATCCAACAGGACTAAATTGAGGATTTAGTCAGTTCAGGGAGTCAACAACAACAACCAACCAACCAACCAACAAACCAACAAACCAACCAACCAACAACAAGAAAAATGCAAGAACTGCAAGAAAAACAAGGATCACAAAGATACAAATGTGTGTAGGCCTCCCATTACCCTTGCCCGGCGGCCACTTCGGGGAGCGATGCAGATAGGTCCGAAATGCATTCGCTTTGGTCAAGGGATGTTCCACAAGCCCAGGGTTAGACAGGACACCATCCCAGGAGAAGCGGGACAGCTAAACCTGCCCCGCCGTGACGGTGAAAATAGCCGCAAGAGCTATTTTTATTGCCAAGCAAACCTTATCTGATCACCATGGGGGGGGTGACCAGACACCACAATTGGCATGACAACTAACCACCAACCACCAACCACCAACCACTGACAACCAACAACCAACCACCAACAACCAACCACCAACCACAAACCACAACAACAACAACAACAACATGGGTTTCTGAAAGTCTTCTTGGAATCTGTCTGGACAAGGTCAGAACATGAGTTTTGTGGCAATACTAAAAGTAAATGGAGCTACTTGACTTTTAAGTATTGGAGATAAAACTGGAGTTGCGGAAAAAAGTTTCTCCTACTGACAAGATATCACTATTGGTCAAACAACATCACCAGCCACCCCAACAGGTGCCCACACTTTATCCAGGGCACCTTGGGACCGGTCACCGTCGGTCCCTATGGGGGGGTATATCATGGTATATCTAAAAATGGTGCATGATTGTGGGACATATACTAACTGTATTAAGTATAGCTGTTTCCATGGTGGTTTGAAATCTAACTAAGGTTGGTGATCAATGTATAATTACTCCCAGTGTAAATGTCAAACGGTTGGGATCACCCAGAACCACAGGATCAAGCATCACTTAGAACCACACAAATAGGATCAGCAGAACCACCAATCCAGATATTGATGGTTGCGAAAATGAGATGATGATGATGATGATGATGATGATGTCGATGTCGATGTCGATGTCGTTGTCGATGTCGTTGTCGATGTTGATGCCGATGTCGTTGTCGATGTCGATGTTGATGTCGTTGTCGATGTCGATGATGATGATGATGATGATGATGGATGATGATGATGATACGGAAGATGAGGTGGAGGATGAGGAAGCTGAGGATGACGTTTCCTTCCATCATCACCTCACTGATGGATCACCTCCATCATCTTGTGCGGTGGATGATGTTTCCTTCCATCAACACCTCACTGATGGATCACCTCCATCATCTTGTGCGGTGGATGATGTTTCCTTCCATCATCACCTCACTGACGGATCAACTCCATCATCGCTGATGGATCACCTCATGATGATGATGATGATGATGATGATTATGATGATGATGATGATGATGATGCGTGGTTCTAAGCGATCCAAATCCCGTGGTTCCAAGCGACTCCGCAACCATGTCAAACCACCAAGAAAAACAACTTAGATGGGTAATGGCTCAAAATTCCTGGAATGAATACAGAAATGTAATAGATCAATGTCAATTAAATTAATATACTATCCCTATCCTATTCAGAATTTTGAGCCATTGTCGATATCGAGCGATCGAATGTGTGGGTAATAAGTAAACATGCATGTATGTAATTAATATATATATATATATTATATATTATATAGATACATGACAGTGTGGCACGCAAGCCAGCAGACGGTTGTCCTCGGCTCACCTTCTCGTCAGTTCTTCCTCGAAGATGGCGATCTCGCAAGGGCCCGATGATGGCTGGTACTGGAGTCTTCAAAGACTCTGAGACATGCTCTGGACTTGGCAGAGACCTGGTCCATGCGGGAAATTTCGGAGTCCAATCCTGAAATGTCCTTGCATTGCGGAGCAACGCAGCCCCTGCCGGCACGGTGAAGAGCCTGGAATCACGCCTGCTCAGCCGGCTCTGCCTGCCATGGTGCTGGGGCAATCGCCAGCATTGATCCGGGCAGGCCAAATCAGTACCATCAGGCCCATTCAATTCAAGTTTTGCACATGCGGTGCACACCAAGCACGCACGGACTGCAAAGTGGCAGACAATATACTGATAATAGGTGTGCATATACCCACAAATGCTGGAGGACCAAAATGCCAGCAAGGACCATTTCGTTTCAATGAATGAATGGTCCCAACAATTCTATATCTCGGTAAGCAAGATTTACAATGGCCAATGCAAATCTTGCTTGCCAAGATCAGCTCTCTTATATATATATATATATATTGTGCAAATACATGCATGGGGAATGTTACTCGGTGATAATAACATAGGGGAACCAACATCAACCATGAGGTATGCGGCCCCTTCGGGGGATGGCCAATTTCCCCCTATACCCCATAAACGGTGCGGACCTGGCAGCTGGGGGGACGAAAGCGACCGATAAAATATTATAATATATTATTAATATATTGCATATATTATATTAATATCAGGGGTGCCCGACAGGGTGAGGAAACCAATGGCTTGCCATGCATTTCCTGGAAATGGATGAAAAGCCATTGGAATTTTTAATGGTTATTATTCCATGTTATCTATCATTTTGTTCAGAGATAACATAATTATCAAAAGATTTCAAGTTATTGGACTAAGTTAGAAGATGTGTCAATGATTTATGTTTATTTCCTAATGTAAAATTGATCATCCTCTTTTGAAGGGTCTACAAGACTGAATTAGCATCACGTAGCTTGACTTAATTGCCAATCTTAGATACCCTGCAAGAAATTAAATTATTTGCTGGTTAGAAGATATTCCCAATTAATACCAAAGAACTTACAGAATTAAAGTACCCATGTAATACTGTAAGATTGACCTACTTCATCTAATTTTCCAATTACAAACTGGCCTGAACTGATATTTTAGAGTATCTTCAGAAAAGTTTTCTTGGCCGGCCCGGACATTTAAACATACGAATCCAACTCACTCTTATTTGGAAATAGTGTTTCATACTACCTCCGGTGCCTTGTTGTCTAGCCCACTCTCCAAATATTTAAGAACTTGTGTGACCATATTCTTCCCGGGGTTTATCCAATCCTGCCCAACCCTGCTCAACCAGGTGACAACGACGAAGAGCACAGCACCCAGCAAAAGGTGGGCCTGAGTGATTGTGGGAAACCACCAAGGAAACCACCAAGGACTACAGGGTTTATCAAAATCAAATGGGATGTGTGGGCACCTGTTATGGTAGCAGCTGTCTTGGTGGACCATGAGAAGGAAACCAAGTAATTAAAAAATAACATGTGGGTTTGTCTGAAAATTGGGTCGACCCACAAAGTGATAGGTTCATAATCCTTATCACCATGATATTCTTATTATTCCATTCCATAATATTTACAACCCTCAGTTTTGCTGGTGAAACTCCACAAAACCATTTAAATTTCCACAAACCAATAATTCTTAGTTGCATGTTTCCGTGCTATTGAAATCACCACTTCGGTGATCATTTGGATGAATGAATTGTATGCCTTTATGATGCATTCATCTATATATGGCTGTAATTATATATAATATAATAATATACTATATATGATGACATATCCATAGATCTATATAATATATCATTATATCCCCATTACACGATTCTCATTCAAGGTGGATTTTGTAAAACCTACAGAGTTAGGGTCACAAGCTTCCCCTGAAACTCGATGGGAAGTATCAATGATGTAGATATATAATATATACATATATGTTATTCAGGTTGTATTTTATTTAAATAATATTTGATCCCTATCCCATATCCCCAACATGCTGATTTTTTCATTGCCCATTTGCCGTGACATGAAATCCAGGCCCAAGATTTTGCAGCTTGAACTTGTGAATATTAATTCTATAAATCAGTTTCATCATTTCAGCTCACATGAAATGCATTCACCAATGTCCATCAAGCATATCATTGTAACTCCAATGAAAAAAATGGTGGAAAAAATGTGGTGGGATATTGGAGAAATATAATATACAATGACATTAACCTTGAAAATGGGTATCACTAATTTGGGAAGGTCCTATCGCTTACCATGTGTTTTTAAAAAGTTCAATCAAATTCCATACAGCAATGTCCATCCAATACATATTTAATAATTTAATACTGCGGGGGTTTTTGCGGTGGTTCATATGTTCCCCACTTGAGTATACTGAGTGGTCCATTTGAATCAAATTGTATTGATCATTCGATTAAATTCAAGAAACCCATACACATGGGAGCCCCTACATCCCCGGCTCCAACCAAGCGATGCCTTCATCCTCGAAGTATAGTCCTTGGTACGGAAAGTGATATGGCCATCCCCGGATCTAAACTGCCGAGATTGGGAACACACACATTTCAATAGTAGAAGCCACCAGACCCTGAATCTGAATTGTAAAGCACCACCTACACAAATGGAAAATGTAGGCGCTTGTTGCGTGCCAACACTTCACCTCCGTATTTCAAGCAACTTAGCGAACTATAATTATAATAAGTCTCATTACAATCCAATTACACACAACCACATCACAATTTGTGCTGGTTAGAGTAATCCCATCATTGTCCTCATAATATGATCTGGATCAAAACATGATTAACCGACGAGATGATAGTGATCAAAGTTGCTGGTTCGTTGGTTGCCATCCGAATCTGACCCATACCGGGAATCCATCCTGTGTGGGGATTTCATAATCCAGCACATCAATGGGCAAAAGAAAAAGTGATGCTAATTGGTGACCTATGCTAACAGGCCACTAATGTGTGCTGGTCCCAATCTCTGTGTTTATTGCAAAAAAGTTGTGTCCTTACAGGAGAAATCTCATAACTCAGGGCCACCACCTTGCAGGGCATGATTTGGGAGTAGTGAGGTAATTGAGGTTACTTTCATTGAATTGAATTGAAATAACCATGGGTCCAATCCCTCATAACTATGTATAGCCACTTAAATTAAAACTGGAACTTGATACGAGCAATCTAGGTTCACGGAAAGGACATCCACAAAATTGAGAAGGTCCCATCACTATCCACATGTTTGTACTAATTGTAAACTTGGGGGGTATCAGAAATCAACGTTCTTTTCAATGTGCACATCGACAAGATCGACATTCAGTTACTTCCGGCTTTGGGCAGTAACAAATCAAAGTTGAGGTGTGGAATCTCTCGAAGTTGAGCATTGAGTCAATGAGAATTGAGAATTGAAGGCGCCGAGAATTGCAAAACAATCACATCAGACAAGACAGTTGAATTCCACTGCTGTCGCCGCCCTCGTCTTGACGACCCCAGGTGACAACTTTCCCGTCACGAGTGACTGCACAGAAGGCCATCGCAGTCTGAGCAATGAATTGGATGTTCTTGAGCTGATCTTGAACGTCTTCGCTGTCAGCGCCATGAGTAATAGTGCCCCATGTAACAACTGATCCATCTTCAAGGATTGCAGCAAATGCAAAATCATTCGCTTGGATCGCACATACTTTGCAAGATATCTCGACATCCGTCGGATGGATGCCGAAGAAATTGTTGCGATCGTTCTCACCCCAAGACGTGATGGTGCCATCTTCACAAATTGCGGCAAAGGCTGTCCGCGAGGCTGCCAAATGCAGCACCTTGCGGCCAAGCAAATGCTTGTCCTTGTGCATGTTGTTACCAGCAAGAAAGCTGCCCCAAACATACACCTCACCAGAGGAATTGAGCGCAGCAAATGAATCCTTTGTGGACTGAATGTGCGTCACATTCTTGAGTGATTCAAGATGGTCTAAATAGGTGAAGGTGTCCAAACCTTCCATATAGCATCCCCAGCTTGCCACAGTTCCATCTGCCATTAAAGCCGCAAAGGCATTATCAGAGGATTGAATCTGCTGCACATTCCTGAGACGATCTTGAACTGCACGGCTGTCACCACCACCTTCGGGACCGCCCCAAGTTACAACTGATCCATTTGCCAAAATGGCAGCAAATGCTGTAAAAGATCCTTTAATCTGCTGAACATTCTTCAATTGTCCTTGAACTATGCGGGAGCTGCCACCAAAAGTATTGTGTCCCCATGCAATGGCTGATCCATCTTCCAAAATGGCAGCAAAAGCACAGGTGTTCGATGCAATAGCCCGGACGGGACAATGAAAGTCTGGCACGGGCGTTTCGTCAAAGCTAAAAATGCCTCCCCAATGCACAACTGATCCATCTGCCAAAAGTGCAGCAAAACCTTCAGCATTACCATGGATTTCCTTGACATTCTTTAGCTGGTCTTGGACCTCAGAGCTGTCACCACCCTTGTCAAGTTTTCCCCATGTAACCACTGACCCATCTGCCAATATGGCAGCAAATGCATACCAACCGGCTGCAATTGTTTGCACGTTCTTGAGCTGAGCTTGGACTGCAGAGCTGTCGCCACCTTCATTATGCATTCCCCAAGAGATGACACCACTGCCCGGGCAAAAAATAGCAAATGCACCTTCTGTGGCCGCCACCATTGGCTGGATCACAATTCCCAAGAAATCAGTTCCAAGAGGACACACAGGTTGTGTAGGATCCACCATGCCTCCATCTGCAGTCACAAGCCTCAAGAAGGATGTGTTGAAGTGCTCCTGTGCCAGCTCCCTCAACTCTCCACCTGTGATGGCATCGTTTACCATGAACAAGTGACTGCGACCCGATGCTAGTCTTATGTTGATGCCAGTCTTAGACTGCTCCAGTGCAGCAGAAGGCCGCTTCATTGCTGCAGAAGGCCGCTTCATTGCTGCAGAAGGCCGCTTCATTGCAAAGTGAAGTGAAGTAAAGTGAAGTGAAGTGAAGTGATGTGATGTCATGCGGTGTGATATGATGATGTGATGTGATATGATGTG